GTTGCAAGGTGGGGCAGGTGGGAAGGGGGGGGGGGAGGTCAGGTGGCTGCGGAGCAACGTGCGAGGTGGCCGTTGGAAGCCGGCGAGAGGGAGGAAAGCCACAGGAAGGGGGGGAGGGGAGGATACCGGAAGAGGCGGACCGCGGCGAAGTGGAAGCGACAGGCAAAGCGGACGGTCGACGCGGGCAGGGCATCATTCAGACAGTCGCACTGGTCGGGCTTCTGCAAGGGACAGACCGTGTCAAACCACGCCCGCAGGATGTGGCGCAGGAGGACCGCCGGCGAGAGGAAAATGCGAAAGGACAGGAAGAAGTCGGCCGCGTGCGTGGGGAAGCAGGTGGCCCCACGGCACAGGGTGTCCGGGATGGCCGGCACACTGGCGGGCGTGCTGCCGGGAGCCGGGCCGGGGCCGGGCGCCTCGAAGGCCCGCAGCGCCGCGGCCTCCAGCGGCCGCCAACAGTCGCAGCCGAACCCGGGCGACGTGAGCAAGTGGACCAGAGCCCGGGGCGAGCAGCCCTCCAGGGCCGAGGTGTAGGAATGCGCCGGGCGGCTGGCCGCCGCCTGGGACCGAAGGGCCAGGAGCTTGAGCGAGGCCAGGGACAGGGGCTCCTGGCCGGGGCCCGCCTCCGGGAGGCAGTGCTCCGCCTCGGTGGCGGACTGCGGGCTGCGCAGGTGGATCCCGGCGCAATGACAGCAGTGCATGTCCTCCTCGAGACGCTGGTTCTGGGCCCGGACCATGGGCGACAGGGCCAGCGGGAAGAGGATGCCAAAGGGCGGGGTCGGGATGCGGACCGACAGCTCGGGGCAGCGGTTGCGATCCGGCGTGGGGGACACCCCGTCGAGGGAGACGAAGGACGAGTAGAGGGATTCCCCGGTGGAGGAGCCATCGGTGCTGCCGCTGCCGCTGCCGCTGCCGCTGCCGGGCTGGCGATTTGGGAGGCCGGGCAGGGCGGCCTCCGGGCTTCCGGCCGGCTGGCCGACGTCGCTGATGGCCGATGCCGAGAGGACCACCTTCAGGGGGTGGAGCGCGTCGTTGGGGAGGCCGGCCGCCGGCGAGGGGTCATCACGACCGGGGGCCGCGTCGAGCTACGACGGAGGTGGGTGAGCGTGGGGGGAAAGCAGGGGGGGGGGGGGAACAGGCGAGATGGAAGGAGGGGGCGAGCGGGTGGTGGGCCGGGTGCCGGCGTACGACGGAGAGCGCGGACTCGGAGAAGAAGCGTGGTCCAGCATCTGGATCGAGTGCAACCAGGGGGGGGGGGGATGTCAGAGGAGCTGGACGCATGGTGCATGTGATGGACCGACAGCGGGGAGGGGCGCCCAGAAGGCAGGCAGGCAGGGGGGGGGCGGGCGGAGGGAGCAGGCCGGGCGACGGACAGAGGGACGTGGCGGAAGGGTCGGCACCGGCGTTGCAAGCGGCCGGCTTGGGAGAGTGTGCCGGGCAGAGGGCCGTGAAGGTGGGCTGCTCCTCGGCCTGGCTGCCAGTCTCGCCGACACCCGGGGAGAGCCGCGGCGAAGGGGCGGCGGCTGCAGCGTCGAGGGCAGAAGGAGCCGGGGCGGTGTCCATCCCGGCCCCACTTCCGGGCTGCATGTTGGAGGGCGGGCGGGGAGGTGGGGAAAGAAGCAGGGGGGGGGGCGGGAGGGGGGCAGCGACAGCGAGGAGGGATCGAGGAGAGAGAGAGAGAGAGAGAGAGAGAGAGGAGGGGTGGGGAGGCGGCGGGGCGGGTTGTCGTCAGGCCAAGGAGCCGGTCCGCCCTTGGCCAGGCGGCCGAAAGAGGGTCCGGCCGGGACGCGCTGCGCCTCGCACGGGGGGGCGGCGGCGGCACACCGTGCAACGAGATCCGCCCTCTGCGGGGCGAAACAGGCCCATGCCGTGGGCATCTCTAGCGAGAGAGAGGGAGAGAGAGAGAGAGAGAGATCCCCGGCGGGCGGCGTCGCGCACGCCCCCGGCCCGGCCACCCCCGCCAGTCGGACGCGGGGCGGCGGGTGGCGGACCTTCCGAAGAACCAGCATGGGGTCATCGAGGGGCAGGTGTGTGCGGCGCTCCGGCGCGCCTTCCGAGGCAGCACGAACGCGGGGGCCATGCTGGGGGCGGGGCGGGTGGGGGAAGCCCCTGAGCCAGCCACAGCCGGCGGGGGAGGGGGGCGGGGGGAGCCCCGTCTGCGTCCCCGGGCGCAGACGCGCGCGCGCGCGCGCGTGCGGGCCCCAACCCATGGGGAACCCCGGGCTTCTTGGCGCGATCGCCGGCCGGCGACGGCCACCGCGCCCCGGGACCGAGGGCCGGGGTGGGGCGGGCGGAAACACCGGCCCATGAGCGCCCGAGCCTCGGGGACGCGCGGGCCGGGGAACAGCTGGTCCCGGTCCTCGGCCGCGCCCCCTCCCCCCCCCCCCCCCCCC